GCTGTTGGCACATTTCCTTTTGACTCCTATGGAGCATGAGCTTGGTACTCTATTCCAAACTGCCTGACTTAGCCAGTGGAAACACAGCACATTGAACAGCAAATTCGAGTTTCAGTCATTTAGCAGTAAGTATTCATAAAGAAAGCAGAAAGTATTCATATAACATATGAGCTGCTTTTTATGGTAGCAGGATATTCCAGACTGTGCAGGTTCTTAGCAAATTTGGAACATTAGGGTCATACAAGAGTGCAGAAATGTTGGTGCAGGATTCTTCTTCTCCTTGTACCATTAATCAGATGCCTCATAGGAGACGATGAGCTGTGATTTATTTCAGGGTGTATTTTCCTGTGAGGAATCAGCCTGTGTCATTTTTGGTCTGACACTTGGGTGACACATGCACAGCAGTCGGTCACAGTAAGGGACAGAGCTAGTAGCAGCTTTCCTGACATTTTAAGAGTCAGGCAAGCTTAGTTGAAAGTAAGCTTGGGTGAAACAAGGTCATTCAAACAAGTGGGTGACTGAGGAGCTTTGGGAAAGAGGCACCATTCAGGAGTCAATCACGAGACACTGATTTGGCGGTCACAGGCAATTCATGCCTGGGCTCAGAGAATCCTGGGGAGTGTGAAAGAACAGGAGGCAAGGGACACAGGTTGCAACAGGAGACATTCTGACTAGGTAGAAGGAGAAATAAATTATGGGGAGGTCAAGCACAGAACAGGTTATCTAGAGAGGTTGTGAGACTTCTGTCGTTGGAGATACGTGAAACTTAGTTGGACAAGGACCTGAAAAAGCCGATCTGACTTTGAATTAGTAGCTAACTTTGAAGTTGGTGCTGCTGTGAAAGAGTTGAACTTCAGAGATGACTTCCAACATAAATTATCCTGTCGTTATATATTTTATCTGTGTGCTGAGAATGAAGTAAGGTCATCAGCAGAGCTTAAAAGATCATTTTTGCTCTCAGTGAGCTTTAGACCCTGCAGAATTCCACAGAGCAGTCAGTGCCCCAGACAGGGGAAAAATGTACATTTTTGTAATTGTGTTTTTTATTGAGACATTGGTTTCCAGAACTGATAGGTCATATACATTGATTCTTGCCAGAATCTTTCATCCCAGGACTCCGATTTTGTGTAAAAATCTACCATGAAAGCCTTTTCATATTGACATAGAAGGTATTTCTGTGGTAGAAAAAGAAATGGATTTAAGGGGTAGAGCTTTATTTTGATAAATGTTTATTGAATTTAAAGCCAGAATCTCAGGTCCTTACTCAGCTTAGAGAAAGTCTTGTTTTGGGACAGGCCCCCTGCTAATGTCTGTCAACTTTTGCTAAATAAGGATTGGGTTCAGTAGCCTTTTGGTTGAGTGGGGTCTGGATGAAAATTGAGAAGTGTCTCAGAATTTTTTCCATACAGAGTAATCCTTCCAGGGGGTTTGCTCTGCTACCTGGAATTATTTCTTAATCTTCACTGTGTAGGAGAGTCTCTCCAGCTGTTCACTTCAGAGCAAATCAACTTTATCAGCACTTTATTATTATTTGCCTTCATGAGTTTTCAGTTTATCTGGTTTTAAAGAAGGTGCTACTACAATCCTTTGATTTACAGCTGTAATGTTAAAAGGCCCAAAATTATGGTTCTTTCAAGAGAAAAGTGGATTTTTTGAGTGCTGAGGATTTTCTGATGGCTTTCTGATTATTTTGTAAAAACATACTGTCTGGCATGTCAAGCCAGTCACCGATAATCAGTATCAGCATAGCTGACTCATTTTGGCTGTGTAGAACTACCATAACTGCGAAGTATCAAAACATTACCTGACAAGGTGAGCAGAGCCTTTCCTGCCACACTGACATGTGTGGCTGTTTGTACTCTGAATGAAAACCACACAATGGGAAGCTGCCAATGCACTGTAACTGATTGTTTAAAAAGCCCTGCATGGTTTGTTCATATCAGGGGCTGGCACCCCTTGTGACTGAGCACTTTTCAAACAGCTGTCTCAAATAAATGTGAAAATGAAGGTTACTGAAATACAGACGATTGTTAGCCTCTGTGATTATTCCTAGTTGTGAGGTACAGAGGCATGGATATGACATTGTCCATGTGCATGGACATTATATCATTGTGGCAGTTTCAAGATTTGTGAAAGCCCTGTGGTCTTTCCTCTGTGCACATCTGATTCTCATAAATATTAACAAGAGTTATAGGCCATGTTTTTTGTGGTCTGTACTCTCAAGAGTTGAGATTTTGTAATGTTTGTAGACTTGTTGCCATCTTTTTTTTGGAAAACTGTTGTCTGATGTTTATATCTGATGTTATATTACAAATAAAAAAGAACACACAAATGTCAGAACAGCTCCAGAACGCAGGATGAAACATGATTTAAAAAACCCACAGGCTTTATGACAAGCATTTACTACTTCCTTGCTACCTCACTTTCTGAATTATTTTTTCATGTACTCACCCAGCTCTGCTTTGAGCTACATTTTTCTTGCTTTGTAGAAGAAATAATTTGACTTCCATTTATTTAAGTGCATAACCAAATGTGTTTAATTATTTGAGTGTCCATGCATGGTCTTATAGAGTAAAATGACATGTTGGCCTGCTGTTTGGAAATAAAATGGTATTAATTATTATTTTCCATTAGGTTGCCTTTCTAATTTCAGTTTGTAAATCACTAATGATAGAACATTTTCTGTGAAGAGCTAATTCCGAATATCACCTTGGGTCAGGACATGGGAAGGTAACAAATACACTGCAGTGCATCCAGTGTGCTGTTGTTAGCACTACCAATCAGGAGTGCTATGTAGAAAGAACATATGAGTCTGACCACTTTTTGTTGCACTCCCCAGTCATCTACTGTCATGGGTTTAGGAGTGCTCTCTACCTGTTGTCTTTGGTGTTTATGACAGCAAGTTTGCAACCTGCTGTGTAAAAAATATATCACTAATCCACTGTAATTATGGCCATCTTTAACACTATTATGGCCATCTTTAAACACAGATCAGAAATTCATTCTACTTTGGGTGTTAGCAACTCAGTACAAAATGATGGATCTTGTTCCAAGGACTCTACTATGCAATTGAAACATCCTTGAGCAGACCCTCAAAGTTACAAAAACCTTTAGACCAGAAAGTGCTGATTGCCTGTTTTTCAGTGATGTTGATTACTAAACCTGAACCCAGTCTGGAGGTGTCACCATTACCTTTACATATACACATACTGCTGCACAGACTAATTCTAGAGCTCTTAACATTTTATGGCATTACACAGAGGTTTTTGTGTCATTTTTCTCGGTAATTTCCCTTATCATAGGGAAATCTGTGCCCTGATGAGCCTGCTGCTTAAGATAGGACAGTGTGTTTCTGAAAAACTGGGGTCACTGCTTGAACAATCTGAAGTGCTTGTTCATTTTCCTCTTTCTGGGGTTCAGCATTTTCCTTTTGGATCTACTTAGAGAAAACGTGCTGTTGTCAGAATGCAGACAGATTAGACTTCACCTCCAAGGGAATGTTGCACTGCCATCCCCACTGAAGTCACCACAACCAATTTTTCTTTCACATTTCCCTCTTCACGTCAGGGTTTTGGTGTGGACTGTGGGACTCCGTGATCCCCCTCTAGTGGGGAGCTGGTGTGAACGCCAGGCTCTTGTGGAGAGACCTCAGAGACTGCAATCACATTATTTGATCCTCTGGCTTTAAAATCCAAGGGCAAATCAAATGTGTAACAAAGCTTTTTAGTACTGATAAAATGCACGCAACCGAGTAAATCCATGGGCTTAGTTCTAACAGGGAGCCTTTGTATGTCTAGAAGTTTTGTAGCTGTGGACAAATAGATTATTTATTTTAGTGTTCTCATGTAAAAATGATTTATTGTATTTGCTAAGAAAAGTGTTTAAATTTTCTTCCTACAGCAGATTTGATCAAAATGAATAAAAATTATTTGTGTGATAACCTGGAATTTAATTCAATTTACAATATGTTCATTTAAAAGTTTGTATTTACTTTTGGAATAACAGTCATCAAGAGGAGTACCTAAAATTCGTATTGGAAATAAATAAGTGGAGAGGGATTGCTTGAAGAACTGGTATTCTGAAATGCTATGTCTGAATGAGCTCCTGTTGTGTAAGGGGCAATAAGCATTTCACAGAGGCTGTTTCTGCACAGAAATAAAAAACAAAATAGGAAGATACACTGTTTTAAAAAATAATTTTGCTGAAGGTGGAAACAATGTTAGCTATAAAAATGACATTTTAAATTCTTAGACACATGACTGAACAAAACATTGAGCATGATTTTACAATGGAAATTAAGTCTAAGAGTTGGCAGATAAACTTCAAAGCATCTGTACTTAGGATATTGGAACTCTACAGTGTTACTAGACCTAGGCACAGAGATTACATTTACATTTATTTCTGGAAAAACTCATGTTCAAAATGCATATTGCCTTTCATCAGTAGATAGTTTCCTTCCTTTCCTTCCTTTCCTTCCTTTCCTTCCTTTCCTTCCTTCCCTTCCTTCCCTTCCTTCCCTTCCTTTCCTCCCTTCCTTTCCCTTCCTTTCCCTTTCCTTTCCTTCTTTCCCTTCCTTCCCTCTCTCCTTCCTTCCTTCCCTCCTTCCCTTCCCTTCGTTCTGTCTTGGGAGAGAGTTGGCCGAGGGGCAATATTGGTGGATTTCATTAGCTGACATTATTTCAGTATTCAGGTTGAGAGGGTTGTTGAAATCATCATTACTATAGTCATTCCCACCTTTGATGTAGATTTCTGGTAACTGGTTTTACATCACTTTACTGCAACTTTATCTGTTTTTTTTCCTCGGTGTTCCTGATATTTACAACATGAACTATCGTAAGTAAATCCACTTATCCCTACATGCACAGCCAGGAGCATGAACATATGTGTAGTCATGCATGCACACACAACATGCTGAGGCTTTGTTGATTGATGTTAATTGCTGCTGGTTTTAATTACAAAACATATTTCTCTCTTGCTCAGTTTGCACTGCTTTGTTTCAGCTTCATCTAATGCACTGGAACTCCACACTGTACAGCAGCATTGATGAGGCAGTAGGGAAGAAGCACGGCATAGCTATTATTGCTTTGTTTGTGCAGGTAAGTTTCCTGTGTTACACTTGTTATGATGCACTGCCATTTGTCTGAGGATAATGAGGTCCTTCCCATGTTATTTAATTTTTAAAGATTTCATGAAAGAAAACAATGTATGACTGCCGGTATTCTATTTGCAAGATATTTTTCAGTCATGTCTCCTATATGTGTGCTAAGCAATCAATTCTTGTTTGAACAGGATATTGGAAGTATGTTCATTAAAGAAGGGATAACAGATTGTTAGGCACCTTTCTGGGACTCTGGCTCTAAGTAGACATCCAATCTTCATTCCTCTGAGAGCAGAATGAGGGCTGTTAGGAGGGACAAGTGCTTCACTATCTCTGTGATGTGTTTCTCTTAATTCCTGGCTGAGTCTGCTGTTCAGAGATTGAGGAAATAGAGAGAGGAGAGGAGGAAAGATTAAAGAAAAGGCCTACAAAGCCATTGGCACTGCTGAAAACTGGCAGTAGAATTGTGCTTTCCGGAACACAGGTACAAGTGTGGTTCTGCACACAGGACAAATGTGAGGTGGAGTCATATCACTCTCCAGAGACTGAGAGTGTTAACAAGACTTGCCAGAGACCCTCAGAAAAGCCTGCAATGAGGAGGCTTTAAGCTTCCTGGGGACAAGGTGTAATGAAATCTGGAAGTTAGCACTATAATCTAATTGCTGTTGAAGGTTTTTCAAGGTCTGCGCTCTATAAAGATTTTCAGTTTTAGTCCTCAAATACCAGATTCTCATCTTCCTCATGAGAAATGGCAAACTGTTTTATTTAAATGGGTTTGGAAGAAGAGGTTTAAAGTTCATCCTTAGATCAAATGGATTTTCTTGCACAGTGATATTATTAATTTGTCATATTTCATAACGAGTTTATGAGTGCCTTTGAGCTTTACCTCTGAATTTAAAGGTGCATTGGTTACCATCTCAACACTCAGATAGAACTGCTAAAAATGGAAGTTAGAAAGTCTTCAGCTTTGTGTCCTAGAGGGCTGTGTGATAATTGCTTATGTAAGTCACCTTCTCATTCCAGCAGAGGTAACCTTCGAGTCAGTTAGAAAGTTATATATAAGTTCTTAAATAAATTTAAAACTTCAATGATACATTTTCCATTTCTGGTCTGTCACCCACATCAGTGTTCGTAAGCATTCCAAAAAGGCTTTTTCATTAGCCAAGAAAGGCATAATTACAACTGACCAAGGAAAAATAATATTTAAGGTGTTTATTAAAGGAACAGGGAGAGGAACTTTGGTGACCATTTTTTTCTTGGTAAAGGCATGGAAAAGTAATTTTGTACCATGGTTCTCAAAATACACTATTTTAAAGTCAATGAAAACATTTACACTGATTTAAGTGACAGGCCTTGGGGATTATTAATTTAGAAGCAGAATCTTTGAAGTAACTTAAATATCTTTTATGCACTTCAAAAGGTTTGAAATTGAAATTCCATTATGAAACAAAAGAAAATGCTCTTAAATTCCTAGAAGTAACAAAGTACTTTTTGTTGACATTCAGTTGTTTCCTTCCAGTGGCTACTCTGTCATTCTATAAGAGAAACAAAAAGCAAACAAATTTTTCAGGGTCTAGCTCTCCCATTCTCACTCGTGCTGGGTTATTTCCTCACCTTGTATTTGTACATGTTGGCAAAAAAATCAAGTGGAAGACCATTCTGCCTCTCCTGATTTTGTTCTGAAGGTAAAACTAGGATCCTGGAATGGGTGATTTGAGTCAGAAGCAGCTGAGTTTAGTGTGCAGAGTGAGCAACATCCATATAAAATTAGAATCTCTCATCTCAGTGTGTTTCTTTAGAGCCCCATCTTCTGTGCCTTCAGTAGAGACAGTGCTGCAGCCTGGCTTTCACTGGCATAATCCCAGAGATGCTGTGGGAGAGGGAATCTGCTGTTCTGTGCTCTGCAGGCAGGAAAAACTCCCCTGAGCTTCAGGGATACCTTGGGCCAGATTTGCAATGCCATGGGAACAAATTCAAAAATTTTCTGTTATGCTTGTTCACTCTGTTCCTTTCTGTGTACTTTTTTGACAAAAACTGGTAAGGACAAACTGTATCCTAGGCATCTATATGCCACAATAGTGCATGATCTTGACTCCACAGAGAACAGGGGCTGTACATCAGGGCTAATAAAAACCAACCTTAATTATGACTCTTTCTCTTGTTCTGTGAGTTTGTCTCTGCTTTAAAGTTATTTAAGCCCTGTTTACTTTTGGCTGGTGGTTTTATAATGATTTAATTTTTTGGACTTGTCATGTATCAGTATCAAATACACTATCCATGTATCAGTGTATTTGATTAAAACAAGGTTGTGTAGCTAAACTAAAAACAGCTATAATACTTACTGTTCTGGTTGACCTGAGTTTTGCCTCAGTTTCTGAAATACCAAGATACTGAAATTCACCTTTGCTTGCTGTATTTCAGATAGGAAAAGAGCATGTGGGCCTGAAGGCTGTAACTGAAATTCTTCAGGACATCCAGTACAAGGTAAGGAATTGTCTGAAGCAATCCTTCCTTTAATGACCAGAGTCAGTAAGCAAAGGGACTGTATGGACCCAAGAGAAAGATTTCAGGTGTGTCTGTGGTAAAACCACATATAAAAGCCATCATTTGGTGGCCAGCATGAAAACCTCAGCGTTTTATTCAGATAATATTATTCAGCTAGTATGTATTTTTTATACTTTCTTTTCCTGGTGGCCAGAAAGTTTGATCTATACCAGTAACTGCTTGCAAGTCCTACATTTTCAGTGATTTTCATGGAATCGGTGTGAGTGCAGGCACTGCAACATGCTTAGTGAACACCAGCAGCCATGTCTCCAAACTTACCTGGTTTTAATTTGTAGAGGAAAAGAACAGATGGACTGAGCACCCATATTAACTTGCAGGGAAATCAGCAAAAATACAATGCCAACTTGTCAAGTGTATTATGTCTGGGCATGCTGAAGGACAGGTAGTAATCCTAGCAGGATTGAGGAGATTTGAGTGCTCTCCAAAATGTTGCCACTATTTTAAATGGCCTTGGGCAAGTTACTTTCAACTCTTTGCTTCATGATCTGTAACACAGAAATAATCATACATTCCTTTGTTTTTAAAAGGATTTTGAGATGTAGGGATGACACATTTTTATTGGTCTGAAGAGATTACCATTCACTTCAGTAGATATCAAAGTGAAGAAAATTTAGAAAGAAATTGCAATCTTTTAGTCAAATCCTACGTGGTAAACTTCAGGCATGATGTTTAATATTATAAATTCCTTATTTATGAAAGTATCAGAGAAAACAATAGTGTATGTAACTCTAATTTCATTACTGAGACAACAGCCAAGCAGAGGAAGGTCATGAAAGGCCTCACCATTGTGTTACTGTGTTATAATGGTGCCTCCCAAAGGAGCAGCATCAAACACACTTTGGCATACATAACATTTTTGTGTATTAAGTATGTGGGACCAGCATTATTTTATTAAGGTTATCCACATCAGTTAAGTAAAGCTCACTTTGGCCCTTGTTTTTTTATATGAAACCCCTGAATTTCATGAAGAGAATTTCAAGGCTGGGACCTGAAAGAAGTCCAGGTGCTAAAGGCAGAAAGTTAACAAATTGCTGGAATAAGCTTAAAAATGAAATAAAAAATAGGATAAAAATATGTGTTTGTGTAGCTGCAAGGAGAAATGCAATGATGATTAAATGGGTGCTCTTAGTGAGGTTGCTTTCCACAGGAATTCAAGGCTTGATGGTAAAAGAACACAGAATGTGTTTTACCTCAGCATTCATCAGCATTTTAATTAGAAGCTAGAGCTGAGATTGACTTGTATTCATTTTTTCAGGGAAAGTCCAAAACAATACCCTGTTTTAATCCCAACTCTTTATTGCCAGGTAGGTGCCTTTGCTTACTTTTGTGTGTGTGGATTAGTAGCTGATTGCAGGGGCTGAGACAATCTAAAGCCTAGCCTAAACTGCAAGCCTGAGTGTGTCCCATAAGCTGGTAATGCATTTTGGTAATGCACATCCTAACAGGGATGGTGGTGAATTCCCATTGGAATTTACTGTAAATCTGCACCTTTGTCATGTGAGTTGGATGTGATTCTGTAGTCTGTGCAGTGCTGACAACACCATGGGTAGCTTTGTTGAGATTTACCCATCCATCCAGAGAGACAACTGTGTGTATTCATTTCTCTACTTGGGCATAAAATAGGAAGTGTAAGGCTACCCACTTAACAAGGTAATTTTTTTGGCAGAATCAAAAGACAATACCATTATGCAATGACAGTAGTACAACAAAAAAGGAGAAGGGACAAAGGGAGGCAAATTCAAACTTACATAGCTAAAAGTTAGAGAGTAACAGTAAGAAATATGACTTAAAAAAAAAAACACCTCTAAAGCGAAATGTTTCTGCAAGGAATCTATTTGAGCTAAACGCTACCATAGTGGCAAGATCTTTAATTTTTTCAAAGTAGTCTAGGTCTACATTAAACTATATTAATTATAGGAAAATAATATTATTTAGGTTGCAAAGTCAAGTGCTCAGCAATTAGGAATTGCAGGAATTAAGGCAGCCTGTGCCTCTCGTGCATATCCATTATGAAACATCACCTGATTGCGTGACCATAAGCTATTTTTTACAGGACCCCTGCCTCACAGCTCCTGTTTGATGCTGATCAAGCCACACAAACAAAAATGTTCACAGGTCATATCTAACTATGTGTTCCTCATTTTCCAGGTGCCCGACTTGAGATCATGGGCTCTGATTTGCAGAAGTGCTGAGTGCTTACACCTCCAAGAGAAGTCAATGGGAGCAGTGCTCTGACTGTATTTTGTGCTATAGAAAGTTAAATACTCTGAGAAATCAGGTTCTAAGCATGTCATATTGAATACCTCAAATGGATAGATGCATTTGACCTCATCTTCTCTGCCTCAGTTCCCCAGCTGTAAAGTGAGGAGATAATCTATCCTTCCTCACCACTCAGGGGTATGGGAGGATAAATTAATTCATTTAAGCTCTCAGGCACTGGAGAAATGAGTGTATTAGAAATATGGAAAATGAGAAAATATTCTAACAAGCAGTATTTCAATAGCACAGGAAAAAGAATTCCAAATGCCTCATATTGTACTGGGAATTCTAAACAATATTATGTACTTTTCAAAACAAAATCATCTGTCTTTGCAAGTAAATAATGAAAGGTTTTCCAGAAAAGACACACATGATCATGTGACAGCACTGTATCACAATGCATGCACAGGATGGGCTGAATTAATTCTTGCAGTTCTTAACTTTTGAGTGTTTGATGATGCAACTCACTGTCAATGGATTTGCTACATAATTTCCAAGCTGAGAAAGAAAATTGCACCTACAAAACAAAGTCCATTTGCTGACAATTACAGGCTTCATTAGCAAAACTTAATTCTACTGATCTTCCTCTGAGCTAGTAGTGAAATGACAGTAACAGGTTAGTTGCACCAAGCAGGTTTATTTGTTTCCAGTATCCCATTCTGTCCTTGTCAAGCTAGTCACAACCTTCCCCCTGGCTCTCCATGCCATGATTAACCACCCTTTGTCTCCACTTTCTCCCTAGGTTTGTTTCTTCAGAAACCCTCTTTTACACTCAGGCAGTTTCCTCTCCTTTTTTAGGCAGTTTTCTTTTTTTAGTACTTTTTAGGCTGTATGGCCTACAGCAGCAAAGGAAAGCCCTGTGTTGTCTCACTTATGAAGTGTAGTGTGATTGGACTCTATGAGAAAGTAAAATAATGAAAATCAAATGTATTTTATGTAGAGTTAAAACTCTGCATGCACAAAATATTGTACATTTTCTTCAGCGACAACTGTTTATCCCAGCAGTTATTTATAAACCTATTAATAAACATATAAATGTAAAAAATTATGTAATTATAAGGTAAACCTTGATGTTTTTCCCCCTCTGAAATTCAACTCACTTTTGCAAAGGTAGGAAGCACCATTGCATCTCAAAACCTATGTCACCAGAATTGCAAAGTGAAAAGTTTTTCTTCAGCTGAATTCTCATTGATTTTTTTTTCTAAAAAATGAAATAAAGTTAATTCTTGAGACATATCCTAAACGTAGAAGTCAGTTAAAATTCAATCACCACAGACCCTCTGCATTCAAAATACGTGTCTTTTTAGCTTTTGACATTAACAGGAATTCCTTTATTCCCATAACATTGCTTATTTGCCATGCTGATTTAAAGAGCTGTGCACTTGTTATTTTTCACATCTACCAAGTGGCATTTTCACATCTAAAATGCACATCTGCAGGGTAACTTACTGTAATACAATGACCACAAGCTCATATACGTTCATATGAGGAAGTAGTGGGCAGTGCTTGGCAGGTTGTAAATTCACACTTTAGCTTCTGCTTACCAACTCTGTCATGCGAGAGAGCCCACAGCTGTCATAAGCTGTCACTGAAAAGCACCATTAACTTCCTAATAGTCATTAAAATTCCACTTTTTTTTTGGTTTCAGATCCTCTTCTGCGTGACTACTGGGTGTATGAGGGCTCTCTGACCATTCCACCCTGCAGTGAAGGTGTCACCTGGATATTGTTTCGCTATCCTTTGACTGTGTCCCAAGTGCAGGTAACAGCTGTGCTTACATTGACCTTGGAATATGGTTATGAGCTAAAGGTTATAGCGTGCAAATGTATATATCAGAATGTTATGTCTGTTCTCCTTAAAGATCCCATTAGATCAGTACATGGCTTTTCAAGTAAAGGTTAAACCTTTTGAGTCACTGAAAGCAATGCAAAGGTCAGAGATGAAAAACCTTGTTATCATATATCATCTGCATTTAAAATAATTCTTATATTTAAGTCAACAATAAAGGAAAAAGGAACTCAATGGGCAAAAGAAATTAAATTCTTTGTAATTGTAAGCTTTCAAATATCACTGCTTTTTAATGTTAAAGGGAAAAAAAAAGCACAAGGAGGCACTACATCCTGGAGAATGAAAAACTTTAATGTAGTACAGATTGGCTAGATTCCATTGAACTGTATTTAATTTATCTGGCTCTTTTTAAATTCAGTTTTATAATAAATGTCAAATGGAAGCTACCTATTTAAATTTGATTTCACACGTATGTATTTTAAAATGTTTGGGTTTTTTTTCTTAAATTAAATCTAACAGTTCTGAGCCTTTCTATGCACAATTTTTCAAATATGTCTACAAATAATCCCAGTAAAAACAATGAAAACTCCTGATGAATATTCTCTCACAGTCTGTGAATCCCAGCTGGAGGAGTGTGCATTTAATTTAGGTGAATCAACCTAGAATCCCTGAAGCTGAATGCATTAATTTTCATTGCCTGCTCTGAAGCACGTGAAAAAAGTATAAAAGGTAATAAATTCAGATTTCAATTATTTCAGCTTTAATAATTTAAAATTTTGCTAGTGATGCTGGCACAATGTTTTAACATCTTTAACAATTTAGAATTGGCAGCATTTCTTCTCTTATGGAAACTGAGTTCTAGGTCTAATCATAGGATAAAAGCAATAGCTCCCAATAAGTTATTTGTCTGGTAGCTGCAACTTAAATGCATCCCGTCATGAATCTGTTATTTGTTCATGAAAAACTAAGACTTGTGGCTGCTTACTACTGAGTAAATGCATTATTTACTACTGAGTAAACAGCTTCTTGTTAGCATTATTAGATTCAAACAACTTTTAAAGACAGAGTGCATTTTGTAACGTGTCAGCTAATTGTCCAGATGGGATATTGATAAATAAGAGGACTTAATCAGATGTACAAAGTCCAGCTATTACAGCTGAGACATAGTAAGATACTACAGCTATTACACTGAGGCATAGTATGATATTGCTAGTTGCAGATTTTGTGGTATTTATTCCTTTTTAATCCAGTCAGTGCACAGAGGAGAGCTGAGTTTAAACCATCCACATGTAGTGGGAGACACCAAGAGGGTGAACAAAAGAGGAATTAAGAGGAGAAATACAACTTTAGTTAGTATTACTGTGTACTAATTTACCACAAGAAGGCAGGATGTCGGAATGTTGTGTGACGGGGATAAGACTCCTGAAAAGAATATTGCGCCTGGAGAAAAGAGTGACCCATAGTGCCTGGGGCAAAGACCAAGGCTCACAGCCATGGCCTTTGTAAGGTGAGGGGTGGCTGGTTTGTGTTGCTGCATTACTGTGATAGGTGCAAACCCGACCCAAAAACATTGCAGTGATGAAGGGCATGCAAGCCATAGAGGAGCCTATCCCTCCCACTGGCACTGTACATTGGTGAGAGGTGGCACTGGAGTCCAGTGATGGATTGGAGCAAACTCATGCCAGGATGATCCACTATTCTTGTCACAGATAAACACCAATCAGAAAAACATTCCTCTGTGATATTTATGACTGCAGCATTAAAGTTAAGGTTGTGCAGGAAAAATAATTATTAAGAACTTAAAAGGCTTTTGCCAAGGTGGCATAAAAATATATTTCATCAGATATTGCTTTCAGATATCAATGAAAAATAAATATGTCATTAAAATAAATACGTCAATGAAAAATAAATATGGGATTCTGGGATTTGTAAATTGAAAGGTATTGTGAGATCTCCATGATGCCCAAATTAAGATTTTGTTGGTTCTAGAATATTTTGCTATAGCTAAAATTCCAAGATTTTAAATTGTAATTAGCATTTTGTCTGCGGTGAACTGTCTGGCCTCTTTTGTGCATGTGGGCATGAGTGCCTATGAGAGATTTCATTTAATCACAGAACCACAGAATGACTGGGGTTGGAAGGGACCTCTGGAGAGCATCTATTCCAAAAGCCCTACTAAAGCAGGTTCATCTAGAGCAAGTTGCCCAGGAGAGATTAAGGAGAGATTAGAAATGCAAGGGCTTTTGTCTGCAGGAAATAAGAGGATGTAGTATAGGATATACCATTTTGAATCTTCCATGGAAGGCTGGTAGAGGTATTTAATTTTATTAAGCCAGCTTGTAGTATTAAATCATAGGTTTCAGTGTAAATGCATTTCTAATAGGTTTAAGTACATTATTTTTACATTTGTCATTACCTTGTGGAAATTTCTTCTTTGGGATACTAATGAAATGTCAAGTGCTTTATATAAATACTAGTAGCATCTATGGTTATAGCCAGTGAGAGACAAATTCAAGGCTATTTTCATTTTTCAGGCCATGAAATAATCAAGTTTTGAGTGTCAATAACAAGTAAATAAAGAATTACATAATATAATATAGAATAAGTTTTATTTCTTTCCTCTGATCAAACTAGTCCATATATTGGAGACAATATGCTAATTTTCTGCAATTAACACAGCAATATTGATCAGCTTAACAAACTGCGGGTCATAAGGGCAAAAAATGAATAAAATTGCTACGCTGTTTCAAGGTCATGCTCATAAAATATTTTCACATTTTGTTATTTTGGAACAATGTCAAACCATTTTGACATGGGCACAATAGGCTGACTATTACAAAGTAGAGAACCTTTTTTTTACCTGAAGACATTTTCAGAGAGTAAAGTTCAGCTGGTGAGTTGATATGCTACTGATCTAAGTCAAAGTTAAGTGAAAGGAGATCTGAGTGTGCTCATTCTACAAATAGCAAAAGAGCAATTCAGGACTGCAGCATCAGGATGTGCTTTCCTGGAATCATGAGGAATGCTGTTTCCTCATTGGAAGTAATTTTCTTTGTCATGAGACTTCACTTCCATCAAAAAAGTCCTTCATGGGTCATTCTATGCATATTCCTGTCCTCCTATTGTGGTTTTTTCCATCCTCACTTGACTTATGTTGAAATGCACAGCCCAGAAAGAACTCTGTTGATTCTTTTTGTGAGATATCTTACACATGCATGTACCTGCTGAAATGCACTGAGAGAAAACTCCTATTAGGCCCTTAAAAGCGGGAAAAACGGGAAATTGAAAAAAGTCTTAGTCATGCTTCTCTCCACTATATTTAAAAAAAAGGGACATTTGTGAATAAAGTACTTTGTGGTTCACTGAAGCCCAGAGTGCTTGAAGTGCATTGTCTAAGCCACTCAGAGTAAGGATTTTAAACAATGATGCAGAAGGAGCTCTTGTTCGCTGTATTCATCGTCAGAGTTAACTGGTCTTTTATTGAATGGCATGGTCTCTAGTCCTTTTGTCTACCTCATTCAGAATGAAAAACTACCAACGGACAGAAAGAGGAACTAGCATATGGAACTGTTGTGGGAATTGGGCAAAATTTATGTCAACTAAAATAAAGCACTCAGAGCTTCATGGTATTCTGGGTGCTGGGAAGTAAGGTCCATGTTCTTGGAAGGTGTCATGGAGACATGTTAAATTTTCAAACAGAAGGATAATGCTTCCATATCTCATATCAAATAAATGTTTATAGAAAACAGGGAAATCCTTAGTATTGTGTGCTCTATTCTTCAGCAAATGTGTAAATTAAACAGAAGAATGCTCAGGATCTGAATACAATGAGTGGTAAAAAAAATTCTACACAATGTGAACATGAATGATTTTACTCAGTAGAAATGCCACTGTTCACATTGTGAATTTGCCTCTACACTGGTTAGAACTTAATCCCAAATTGTTGAAAGTGAAGGGAGAACGACCCATTTTGTTGTTCTTTGATCAGCATCAACTCCGATTTATTGACCAAATCAGCCACTTTATATAACAGTGTTAATTAACTTCATGCCTATTGCAAAATCCAAGCTCACGATAGGTTAACAGAGAAAACTCTAACCCCTCCTTTTGTTTTACAATACCTATGATTTGTTTATTGAAAACAGGACAGCGTTCTCACTGTGATATGAAAAGTTCCCAAAACCTCCATATCTGTTCCCAGAGTAGCTATCTTTTCCCAGAGAGCCCAAGGACAGAGTGTTTTGCCTGTTATGGGAAGACTGTCTGAGAATCTTATTGTTTATAAAGTGGTGCTTGAGAGAGCCTAATTGTTTATAGAATCAAGCCTGGGAATTGCTTTACAACTACCTTTTACTTTTCCCTCAACTGTATGCCTTCACGGCCTCTTTCTTTAACCATGCTTGAACCAGACTCTCCACACCAAATTTCAGTGTGAAAGGCTTAGGTCATCCTTAATGTCTCCTGGGCAGAAGAAGAAGTTTTTAAAGTAGCTATTCCTGGTAAAAGTATGTGACTATCCAAGGGTGCTTAGCTGTATACCTCTAAAACATCTGTTTCCTTGGCAGTCCTGCATCCTGCAGGGTGTACTCCACAGCACTGACTTATGAGGGGCTGGGAGGAGATGGTGAGCAGTGAAATAGAATCAGCAGGGCACACATGTGTCTTGGTTTGAAAAGAGAGGTGTGTGCTAAGGAAGGCAAGAACCTCCCCTGAAATGGAAAATGTAAACTCCCTCCCTCCAAATGATTGCAATTTTGAAATTAAGGGGCTCTCGGACAAGGACATGGGAATTGGAATAACAGTTCTTTACTAGGAAAATGTTAAAAAATACAAACACAATAGTACAATAAAAAGAAAATAAACTACTGACAGAGTCAGAATACAACCTGACACCCTGTTGGTCTGGATGTTGGTAGCAGTCTGATTGAACAGTGGCTGCAGTCCTCCTGAGTAACAGGTGTGGTTCTGTTGAAGCAGGGATGCTGTAAAAGGGTGGAGTTTTCCTCTGAAGGTCTGGTGGTGGTGTAGATGGGCCTGGTCTTCCTCTGTGAATCCAGTGGGGGAAGGCTGACTGTGATGTTCCAAATCTCAGATTATATCCAGGTAGGGATGCTTGGCTCCTCCCCCTGGGCAGAGCTTCTCACAATGGGATGATGTAATTTTATCAACCATGCAATGACACTCAATGGCCCAGTAACAGAAGATATTTCCTGGAGGGAGGATTGGTTGTGGAAGAGATAAAGAAAAACTGCCCAATTAACAGAAGATAACTGCTCCACCTCTAACAGGGGTGTGTATTCTAACATCTAACAGATGATCTATTCATCTAACAGGTGGGAATAGAATACACATGCAGCTACCTTTCAATCTGAGACACCATATTACCTTGCCACATGGAAATTCAATAGGGAAAGTAGTGTTGGCACAGCAAACGTCCTTTTCTCACAGAAGTGCTTCTTATGAGTAGAGCAAACCACCACATGTGTAGTCCTTTTGTCTACCTCATTTGAAGGTTCACACAGCAGTGTGAACCATGGAAGGAACAACTAAACAAGAAGGGTGTTGATTGCAGAAGAAATTCCCCCTTGGAGCAGAGCTACAATTCTTGACTTCCGTAAAGACTAAAGAGCAGGCACAGAGATCAGGTCAGTTCTACTCTCCTGTAGAAGAAACTGGAAGCTGCTTTGTGAGGAGTTACCTCCTGGAGAAAGATTTCACTGTGGGAACTGGGACAGAGCATTTGTAGTTTCAGTAGGAGACAGCTCACAAATTCCAGCTTTGCAGAGAGCCTGCTCTTCCCTCTCCTTCATCTGTCTTTGTTTGAAGTATCTCATTCTCACAAGATCAAACAAAAGCCACATTTTTGTAAAGTGCTCCTTCCTAAACTGCAATTATCTCAGACTTTCCAGAGCTGATTCAGATGGTGAAAAAGTATGCTTTTACAAAGCTCCTTCAGTCATTTACCAGCCCTTGAGTTCTGAAGACTTTTTCAATTCCAAGCTGGTAGTGGGTTTGTTTTCAGTTTCCTTAAAGTAAACAACAACAACAACAAAAATCTTCCATAACAGAATTCTGCCTCTAAAAGCACCTTCAAGGAGCTTTTTTCATTTTTGCAGTCTAAGCTGTTGCCTTATATCTCAGCTGCCACAAGCTGAGTGTTGATTTCCAAGCACACTGTTTTTTTGAGGAAAATTAAGCAGAGAAGAGCTACCCTCTAAATCCAGTAAATAAATCTGTATCAGTACTGCTGTAGAGTGGAAAACAACAATGAGGGCAGTTGTGTTCCAGGTTGCAGTAAGAAAGTATTCTCTGTAGGCAGGATAAGAATCAAAATGCCGTTACCTGCTGTTTAGTACCTCATTTAATTTAATTCTGGAATCATGCTTACATTCTCCCTGTAATATTTCCTAGGGTGTTTTTCATGGAGAAATTAACTCTATAATGTCTTAGATGTTAAAATGATTGTATACTCCAGGCTCCATTTTACTTTCTGTGTATCTTCAGTTTCAAGTTAGAGATGAACTGCATAGAGAAGTGTCACAGGGTCAGTTCAAGTACAAAGGCTGAGGTTTGTAGTACAAAGGGGAGTCAGCCATCAAGTACATTTGCCGAATCCAGCTAAGACAACTTGTGAATATGTCCAAGAAAAAATATTTTTCTAGTAGTTGTAGCTATTTAAAAGATCAGACTCCTAAAACCAGCAAAAGTGAATACTAAGGTAGTGTTTTATCATGCAGCACTTGATGCTAGCACCAGGGACGGAGATGGAAGCTGCTCGTACTCTTCTGTACACCAGATGAGATTTCGAAAAATGTAAAAAGAGTCTATAAGCAAGAAACATTTGTTTTGGCTCAATTGAAATATTTCTTATTTATTTTTTACTGTATTTGACTTTCTGACTGTCTACACCCACAGATCTTTTGAAGCAGTATTTTGTTTTGATCACAAAAACTGTATTTTTTCATCTAAAATGTCAACTGACATCCTCTAAAGCTAAGAATCTGTTCAGTATTCTTCTGGTTTAGAAGGCAACAGTTTCAGGAAGTAAATAAATCACTAGGAGAATTTCAAAACAATTTATAGTCAAGCAAGTTATTCCTGAAACGCACTTTTTTGAAGAAGACCAGAATTGCTACTCTCAATGCACGACAGTAAGGCTGATTCATAGGATGTAATCTGCAATGGCCAAGATGGTTATAGATCTTAAAAGAAGTTGTGAAAAGGCAAAGGAAAAGTTTGCCAAAGCAAATGCTTAAAAATTCTAGCTTTTCTCTATATCTCAAATATTTTGACAGTGCTGATAACTATTTTAAAATATTATTAATATATATTGACCTTACTATATGGCACCTGAACACTTCGATTTTCAAAGCTGCAGAATTGGCTGGACAGGGCTGGTTTTGATCATTAGTCCCATGGTGAAGAATGTGTCTCAGCTTCCTAACTTCTGTTTTTCTGTCTTCCAGATAGAGGAATTTCGAAGACTGAGGACTCATGTTAAAGGTGCTGAACTTTTAGAGGGCTCTGATGGAATCCTAGGAGATAACTTCAGACCAACTCAGCCACTTAGTGATAGAGTCATCAGGGCTGCATTTCAATAGCAGAGCAGGAAGAACAATGATGACTCTTCAGTCAGGTAAGCAAAAACAGCGGAACAATCAAAATTTTGAACTAATTTAGCTAAAGTAGAAAATGCACTTAACTTTAGCTAATGTTATGATACGTTGTCACAATTTTAAATTCTGACACTCTAATTTCTATTTCATCCTGTGTGTAATAGTTTGGTTATGTCATGATTTACCTCCAGCTGGCAACCAAGCCCCATGAGCTGCTCAGTCCCTTTCATGTGGTGGGATGGGGAAGAAAATCAGAAAGGTAAAAGGGAGAGAATTTCTGGGTTGAGACAAAGACAGTTTAATAGGTAAAGCAAAAGCCGTGCATGCAAGCAAAGCAATGGAAAACAAGAAAGTCATTCACCACCCTCCAGGCAGTGAATCACAATGCCCATTTACATCACACTTACTTCTTGTAGCTTTTATTTCCCATGCTGCAGTGAAGAAAAGCACAGCATGCCTTGGTTATGTGGTATATTTCCCCAGATACAGAGTTTTACTGGTAGTTTTCTTTCCATGTTTCTGGAAAACCAGCCATTGGTGGATCTTTTCACACTGTTAAAAAAGAAGGGTAGTAGTTCTGGAAGGAGGCCTTTAATTCTAAAATGAAGCTTTGTTCTTCTTTTACAATGTTGTTCTTCCCCAACAAGACTGAATTTTGAGAAATTCCAGTGAAGGTATGAAAGGCAACAAATTAAATTCTGTCTATGAAAAAAGGACTATTTTTTCATATTTCATTCATCAAAGTAGTTGCTGCTTCTTTTCCACCTTCATTGACTCTCAGAGCAAGAATTTGAGGATGACACAAGAGAAATACACATGTGAACCTGCATTAAACCTGCTGCAGCTATTAAAACTTCTCATGTCATGTTCCCTCAGCCTCTATCTATTTTATATATAAAATAATTCCCTCAATATTCAACAGTTACTCCTAATCCTCATTATACTTAGTTAATGGATGTTTTGCTATAATGAAAAACCTGGCAAAGAGATTCAAAGAGAGCTGAAGTCCAGGGAAGTGACTGAGTCACCATTTCTGAAGACATTTAGGGTGTTAGATGTGATTTTAGGGATATGGTTTAGTGGTGCACCTGGCAATGCTGGGTGAGTAGTTGGACATGATGATCTCAAAGGTCTTTTCTAACTTAAACAAGTCTATTATACTAAGACAAATTATTGCCTTGAAAGGAATGAGTCAGGGCACCAGCTTTATGGTTGATCTTGAAATGAAGTGATCCTGCTTTAATGCAGGACCCTGTTTACTGTTGAAATACATAATATAAAAGCCTCAGATTTTCTATCTTTTCATTTCTTCAAAGCTACAAAATAGATTCATCTGACGTTTAATCTGGAAAGCATGCTGCTTAAAGGGTTTTGATAAACTGTTTTGGGTAAGGATATTTGTTTTTACTTTAAATTCTTGCCCTCTCTAGTTCATGTCAGGCTCTGTAGTGGAGTTAAACCCATTCAGAGCATGCTCTGGATCCAGACACCAGTTTCATGTGAAGTAACAAATGATCAGGCAGCAGATAACCCATAAAAAAGACTGATAATTCAATGCTTCCAAAAGATCCATTAAAATGAAGTGAGAAGATTATCATCCCTCCTGCATATGATAGAAGTTATTAAATTGGCTAGGACAATGACCAACAATTTCATGGTCTTTCCATATAGCATAAGCATTTGATGTAGTGTATGCATCTAAATGCTGTTGAAGAAAGGGTTTATTTGTGTTTTATAACCCTATTTAATATCTGCATCCCAGAAGCTGAAGAAAAACCCCAAACATTGGTCCCTTTTTTAATATTATTTTCTCATCCCCATATTTAATTTTGAGCATATCCCTAAGACGAATTTGCAATTACATGGTTCTCTGAGGTAACCAAATGTTGTCACTTTAATCTTGAAATGGATGTTTCAAATTCATCCCAGCTTCTGCATAAAAATTACTTGGGAAAATCGTAGCAATATTAAAGTACAATTTTTCTCAGAGAGTGAATAATGCCCTCAGGCCAGTGCAGGTAATTCAAGTCTGTAACAGTGAAATTACTTGACACGCTGAGTTTGAATTTTAAGCATGAAAGAGTTTCCTTTACAGTGATGGAATTGAAATGTAAAAATTTCCCTTTTGCTTTCATGTTTGAAATTTTATTACTTTTGTCAATACTTATAAAGATTTTTTCTATGTAATAAGATTTATCTTGGCTTTGCTTCACAAAATAATCTGCAGTTTTAATTCTTAAATGATGGAATTTTTAATGCAAAGTAATCGTCCTCACTGTGGGGCCATACTAATTATGGACACTCAAGCACTGAGGAAGAACTGTGACTCCTGACACAGTGTAGCTCTCAGAAGAAATGACACTTGTTTCTCTACACCTGATTGAATTATTTATCAGAAATTTGTTTGGTCAGGTCTTTTCAGTTTTGTGTGCATCAGTCCAAGTATCACAGACCTAATCAAGGTTTCATTATATATCTTTGCTATTGAGTTCAGGGAGCTGAAAAAAAATGAAGCAGAAAAAGAAATCACATGGCTTTGTTCACATTTCTTCTATGCAAAGAGGTTTACAGGGAAGGAAACAATCTTACTTGTAGTGATTTCCTCACACTTCTCCAGGAGGAAGGTGTTGAGGAGCGGTAGCTCCTCACACAGACCTCAGAAATCCGCAGAAAGATTCCTTCCTTCACAGGAACGAGGGAAGTCCCTTAAGCTGGGACTGCTGGCATCAGCTGAATATTGCTGTGAGGACTCAGTAGTAGATGGGGAAGTAATACTTCCCAGGGCAGCATCTTCCTAGTAATTCAAGAGGAGCTGTTCTTCTTTTCAAAGAGCAGATTACTTTTTATTTTAAAGCTCTGGTATGTCTTTAACATTCAATTACAAACACACTGGTTGATTTCTTTTCATACACTATGCCCCTCTGCCAAAGCTGCTGGAACTCCTGTCAGTAAAGTTTTAAGTATTTTTTTTTTTATTCCAAGCCAGTGTGGCACAGCCACCTGAAGAACCTTGGGGAATGTTAGTTTGCCATGACCTTGTTACTCTGCCGGGAAAAGAAGGAGACAAATGTTTCTGTAAGTGTATCCATAGGAGTAGAAAAAGGTTGTTTGAAAGGTCTAATTAATTTTGACTGAATCAGAATGCAGGCTCTTTGCACAGCGTGCTCCCAAAGCTTCAGAACATCTGTTCCTCAGCCTTGATTTAAACCTTGACAAAACTGAACCCTTCGTGGCTTATGATCAAATGGCATATGTTGATCTTTGATGTAATTTGTTCTAATTTGTTGAGTAAGAAGCAGAGTTGACACAAAGATAGAATATCATGGTGTGTAATACCAGGGAAAGAACTATATTTTTTTAAATGTTCCTCCATCGTGGAAAAGCCCAGATCTCAAAACATTCCTCTCCAGTTCTAAGACAAAGTTTGGCCAGGCTCTAAAGGGGGCCTTCAGGATGACAAAACAAATAGAACTTACTAGCTTCTCTGCTCTCTTTAACCCAGTAGGTTTTAGAATAAGTTTGCTGCTATCTAACAGCATAGATAGCTGTTATCTAACTGGCATCTCCTGACTGCTTCTTTTCTGCTGAAAACATATGTCTCAGCTATAGCTTGAGGTTACGGAGTTTTTGAATTCTGTTTTGGTAGGGTTTTTGACATGCATCCAAACTACATCCCATTAAATGACCTTTTCATACTTCTTCTCCTGCCATTACTGAAGTTTTCAAATACATTTCTTTTGAAAAAGCCATTTAAAAAATTTCTAACCTCTTAAAATCATATCCAATAGTGAAAGAACCAGTCAGGTGTTAAGGAGTTTGGAGTAAAAGCTCAGTACAGATTTGCTTTCAGACATGGAAGGTTAAAAAATTGAGTTCAGATTTAGAGAGTGAAGAACAACAGAATAACAGAGTAGTTGTAATTGAAAGGTGCCTCTGTAGATCTATTAGTTTGATCCTCTGCCCAAAGCAGTGTTAACTGCTTAGCACTGAGCCTGACACTTAAAGAGTGGGTTGCTCAGAGCCATGTCCAGCTGGGTTTTGAATATCATAAGGATGAAGACTCCTTAACCTCTCTAAGCAATTGGTACCTGTGCACTCCTGCAGGGAAAAATGTTTTTCTTAATTTTAAATTAAATTCCCCATATTTCAGTTGGTTTTGTCATCTTATTGCAAAGCTCTCATACCTTCTTGGTGATTTCTCATGGGTATCTCCTCACAGCACTGACTCCTTATTCTTCACAGAGCAACCAACAAACTCCAACTCTCTCCCCAGCCACCTAACCCACTCTTTTTCTAGCACTTGTCTTCTTATTGGACACAGTTGAGGCCTTTTAAGGGCAGGCCTGTTCCTAATCTTTGGTGATTAGTACAGCTTCAACTCCTCAGATGTGAGATTGCCTTCTGCACTATTCTCTTACATTCTGTCCCTCCACCCGCTGACTCTTCTCCTTTCGCTGGATGCAGCTGAAGATGCAGTCTGGTGTGATCTTCTGTACTTGTTCTCATAAAGTGTTTGTACACATTGATAAAATCCCTGTTGAAACACCTTTTCTGGAGGCTGGGCAGTTTCAGCTCTCTCAGGCATCCTTTAATGGCAGGTGCTCCAATTCTTTACCATGCTTGTAGCCTGTTGCTGCTCTCCAGTGTGTCTGTGTTTCTTCTGAGCTGGGGAACCCAGGACTGGGCCCAGTGCTCCAGATGTTCTGTCAGTGTTGAGTAGAAGCATTTTCCTCTACCTTCTGGCAGTGTTTTTCCTGATGCAGCCGAGAAAGCTGCAGAACTTCATTGTTGCCTTGGGTGCATTACTGACTTAGCTTGAACTTGATGTTTGCCAGGACTCCCAAGTCCTTTTCTGAAGGAAAAGGGATAACATTGTGGCTTCCTCAGTGTTAATGCTAGTTTCTTTTTTACTTCCTGCTTGACTCAGAACCCTTGCTATGGGCATTGAGCTATTTCTTGATAATTTCAGATGATCTTGGAATAAGATTTATAAATTACTATTGTTATACAGCAAAGTTAC